CCCCAAAACCCCAAAACCCCAAAACCCCTGCGACTAATAATCTAAAGATTGTTAGTTAAAATTAATGAAATCAAATTTAACAATCTTTATAATCACAATAGCTGAAATATTAAAATTTACTATATTCTACTATAAGTTAATTCTTATGATTTAGGCTATTCATTCTTCCTTAAATATAACTGTTTTGTGACTCTTAAGCATTTTATTAGAAGGAGTAAGTGATTTTTACTATATATAATGCTTGCTAATAGGTGTTATGGTAATAGTTTTTCTGAATTCATTTATAGACGTGTCATTATTCCTAGACTTCGAGCTCCTATTTGCTGGAGTACTATCTTTTAGAGGAAGACCCGCTTTACTGTACTTAAATCCATTAATAAGACTCTTAGTGAAACTTCCTGCAAACATATTTTTCTTAAGGGGCTAAAAATTCTTCAGATGTGAGTTCTTTCCATAGAAGTCTCTATTTACACTGAAAGGACTAGCACTATCTCTCTCAGTAATATGATCCATGACACTCTATGAATTAGTCTTATACTATATAAATTAAGAGCTAAATCCCTCTTCATCTTCTTCTAACTCATCTTTCAATTGTTTCCATTAGTCTATATAAATCATGGTGAAAATATATAGTCTCTTACCAATTCTAGATTAGATAAGTTTATAAGATATAGGTTCTTTTTGAATTTATTAGTAGGAAACGCTACTTTTTTCAAGAGTGTCAACGGGATCTTTTAGTTGGTCTTAGTATCTCTCATTCTTTTATTCTGCATTATCAATAATCCTTTGTAAAATAGATGACTTCATAAAAGTAGATTTTGCCTATTTATCTTAATCTTTTGCCTAATGAGATAGAAGTGATCCTTATCTCTAGAACGGATCTTTTGGCTTGCTAGTGAAATGCTATGTCTTGAGAGATACAAGGACCTTTTTCGTTTTTTATCGAGAGTGATTAGCTACTGATTTCTCTTCATCTTCTTCAGGAATCGCACTTATGGTCTTTCTCAAAGTTTTTGAATTCAAAGGTACCTTTAATCTACTACTATTTTACATCGTCATTTGATATTTTAATGGATTAATTTTTATAGAGTCTCTTGTGTTTTAGCCTAAAACTGATAGTTATCTATTAAAAATATTCTTATCGAAATCTAGCTTAAGCATATGATTGTTCCCTTTCTTAAAATATGTCTATAATGATGAAATTTCATAAATTTGATGAACTTACTGGGCTCAAATTTCGTTTTTATTTAATTTTATCTGGAGATAATGAACCGTCAAAATTCTCGACTTGGATATTTGTGTTAACTTTTAAATCTTTCTTTGCAAGTTTATTCTCTGGCTCCTAATTGGAATATAAAGATTTTCTCTGCTAAAAGATTGACAGCTCAGAGCAATCAGTGAATCTTTTCTAGTATGATTTATCATTATTTTTGCTGGCTTCAAAATCAAAAGACATACTTTCAAAACTGTTATTGAATGTTTTTAAGTTCTAAGATTCTTTTCTTGATTGAGGAAATTAGCAGTCCTAGATGGAAGATAACTCCAAATTATTCAAAGCACTGCCAAGATTTTTAGAATTGTCCTTTCTCGTTATTTGGGATAACAGCCTATCAGTTTTATCATTTCTTACATTTTTTTAATATTCATTAATAATGGCTACCCTCTTTTCATCGTCTGGCAAAGCAGATTCCTTTTTGCTATTATCATTTTAAGTCTGTTACTGCTAATTTTAAATCACACTGTTTTTCTAAAATACCATCATCAATATTCTTTTCTTAACATTGCTAGAATTATCCTTCTAAGTGTCTATAATAAAAGCTAAATCCCTTACATTTATAAGTGGAAGAGTAGTTGAAATTTTATTTTACTGAGTTTTAAATTATTGCTATTCTTAGTCTCTCAATGGCTAGTTTCTTGATTATGTTTAATTTTATTATATGGACTTTTGCATTTTTTGAGTAGTTTGTATAAAACTGTGTTTATCCTAACTTTGCAGATTAGCTAACCTATCTTTAATGGGGGAAGTGCTGTATAATCCCTATGCACTTTTGGATAAAATATTTCTGTGAATAGTTTCTTTGCAGGTTAGACAGAGGTTTCTTATATTAAGCTATGTACAAGGCATGTCGCAAATTTTGCATCTTAAATATTTTTTCTCTTCATTTGTAGCCAAAGAAGCAGAGAAAGTTTCCAAGGTAATCTGTGGCAATTTAAAAGTATTCTTTGGAGTGATATTTCGCTATATTACGGGTTTTTAAATCTATTATGCCTCAGGAGTAGTAATAATATTATCAGGGCAGCTGATTTAAACTTGGTTTTTAAAGTTCGTTCACCTCAGCTTTAGTTTGCAAATTGAATTTTTTGTCTTTGAGATGAAAGGGGTATCTTAATAAGCATAGTAAGACTCAATGGTCTCTGCCTGAGAATCTGTAGTCTACATCTTTATAATAACAATAGCTATACCTTTTAAATCCTAAATTATTTTATTAAAGAGCTTAGGAATAATTATATTCATGCTAGTATCGAGTATTTAAGTATTAAGTTTTCATAATATAAATTAAAATTTCATGATAAATTTATAAGAACTTGCTTATATACGATATTTCAATATATGGGGTTTTGGGGTTTTGGGG